AGTCTTAACTTTTATAAAGAATATCTTTTTGGGTTTGAGACTTTAGTCTTTGCAACTTTAGGGATCTTATCTATGCAAAAACAGCTTTTAACACTCCAAAGAGAAAGGAAAACTTGAAAATGCATCATATGACCCCTTTAAAGGGGTCTTTGCTAAAAAGAACATTATTTTGTGTATTTGGTGTAATGAAATGACACCCCCATACCATAATGTTTAAATAAATATTAAAAATGTAAACGTGAATACATAAATTAAAAAAGAATAATTAACTAATTAAAAATAATACAGAAAATAATACATGAAGGAAAGATGTAATGCAAAATAAATTCTGGATTAAATGTAATTAAAATTAATGATATAATTCATTTTAATTAGATTTAATCCTGAATTTATTTTGCATTCATCCCTTCATGTATTCATTTCTGTATACACACACACACACACACACACACACACATATATATTAAGGCTGTCAGTTTAACGCGTTAACTTAATTAATTAGTTATGAAAAAATAACGCAATTAAAATATTTTAACGCAGTTAACGCACTGGCCCCGCTCCCAGACCTGTACGTCATTTTACATTTCATACAGTTGACTGTTTACAAATATGATGCAGGGCAACAACTCCATAAATGCAGTTATGCACTAAAAGAATTTCTGTCTCATATTTATATCACATGATAATCAATATCACACAAGCAGCGAGAGCAATATCACACGAGTGCTTATGTCCGAATACCACGAGCGCAAATGTGATTTTATACAACAGTTCCGTAAATAAGAAGTCAACACAGTAATGTCTGTTTTTGCTCAGTTTTGCCAACAAAAACCTATTACCTATAAAGCCACAGCAGAAATGTTGTGCGTCTCCGAGCAACACATTCATAAAGAGAGCCATTTACTTAAAGGTGCAATAGGTAATTGTCTTCAGAAACATTTTTTGTTATGCTGGTTGAAAGTCTCTTCACATCCCGATAGCAATCATTAAGTTTGTCCGAGCTCGGTCCGAGCGTTTTAATATGTTTTCCTACCTGCCTGTCAACGTATATATTAACATACCTCTGCGCATCGGGTTCACGCAGACAGGATACGTCATCAGCTCGTTCACGCACGCTGTGCTGACAGAGCGAGGATGGCAGACAAACATCAACAACCCGATCTTCCTTCCTGGTATTATAGTACTTTTAAAGTATTCTCACCGGTGAATGACACATGATGCAGCCCAGCGGTTAATCCAGTCCTCGCGCCAGCTCATTAGAAGTGAGCTACGTGCATGAACTGTGTTCCGATCGATATGATCCCTACACAGTGTTCATTGCTCCCTACTCCCTGAGCAGGGGAAATCCGTTGGAAGTTTACTTCACTTCGGAACATGGGCTGGAATTGGGAACTGCTGATGTAGCCTATTATAGTAATGTTGTCTCTGTGGCCATAAATGCGTTCAGGGGGCGTGGCTTTTGGACGGCGATTGCAGGGAGGGTGGGACATTCGCTTTCAGTGCTATCAGGCTAAAGTTAACATTTTCCAAGATCTCCTACCGCACCTTTAATTCCTGAATGAATCAGCCGTTTGTCCGAATCGAATGAATGAATGAATGACTCATAAAAACATCATAGACTGTATAGGGTCAGCATGCGCGCCGAAGGGGAAACAGGGGAACTGAATTCACCGGAACACCAGCATTGTAGGCTATTCTCCCAGGAAACAGCCCTCGTCCTCCATAAAATGCGTTGCACAGATCTGAATATTTGGGTTGAACTGTTCTGGAACAGTGTTATAAATACTACTTAACCACTGATTTCTAGTGGAGTTTTAGGAGGGCCTGGACGAGTCTTAACTTTTATAAAGAATATCTCTGGGTTTGGATTACTAATCTAAAGTGACTCTTTAGATATGAGTCACTTTTTTAAAAAGTTGATAAAAGTAGCCAAATAAATTGTAAAAATTGCTAAATTTGTTGCTAGGTGCTTTTTGAAAAAAAAAAGTTGATAGGGTAGTCTGAAAAGTTGCTAAATCTAGCAACAAAATTGCTAAATTGGCAACACTGTGTGGGTGTGTAGTGCTGCTTACACTATTCTTAAATACGCCGGTATTGCTGCCATTCATATATTTTAAATGATAGCCAACATTACAGCCCCGCACGTAATGCAGCTAGCAGTGAACGTGTTAATAATGTAAAACTCCGAACAAGTTTTCTTGTGCATTTTTAACGTATCTTGACTGTTGTACAGTCTGACATTAATGCCAACTGAGATCCCACCAGTGTGACATGATCATCATGTCCGTACATTCTGACAAGCGACAATCGTAAATGACTATTAAATGTAGCACAACAGTATAGCAGTACGTCATGAACAGGCATGCAACTGTCCAGGACATTAATGTTGTTCCACAGGGCACAAAAACTAAATTTTAACAAGAAATGTAGTATATATAAAACACGTCAGAACTATAGAAAGTCCTTCACGTGCACAAGTTTCCAATAAGGATATAGACTACTTTAATGCTCTACAACATAGAAAAAGATAGATGGCAACTAGTTATTTATTATTGATACAGATACAGGTACACATTTGAGTTGGTTGCCTGATTTGTAAGTATCTGTGGTAAGCCGTTTGAGATCAAATGAAGCTAGGAGTGAGTGGAAGTCTGCATTGTAAGGCTTCTCCAGATGAATGCTGAATCGCCAAAGACTACAAGTGGACTGGCATCCTCAGGGAACATGGAGAGCAGTATGATGGCAACTAGTCATTTATTATTGATACAGATACAGGTACACATTTGAGTTGGTTGCCTGATTTTTAAGTATCTGTGGTAAGCCGTTTGAGATCAAATGAAGCTAGGAGTGAGTGGAAGTCTGCATTGTAAGGCTTCTCCAGATGAATGCTGAATCGCCAAAGACTACAAGTGGACTGGCATCCTCAGGGAACATGGAGAGCAGTATTTGACCAGGAGGGTGATAAAGTACTACAATATGGAGTTTTGCAAGAGCTGTTACCATAACTGTTACGGGGCGAACAAGACGTGAGACGTGCGGATCCATCTGCAAAGCTTGTATTTAAAGGCGTGGTCATAAAACAGGTAAGGTTCTGACAATGGCAAACAGGTATTTTGAGGGCAAGACACAAGAGTAGTCCAGTGAACGGGCGTGGGGTCGATCTCCAGCGAACAATGTCCAAACAGGGTAATCCAAAGGGTTAATCCGAAACACAGGCGATGGTCCAGACGAGGGGTAAACAGTATCCGAACAGGGCGAGACGAGAGGGGAAATCCAAGACGGGCGATATACTTCAGGGCAGGCAGAGATCAGACAGAAACGAGATACACAGGCTAGGATCAAGACACGAATGACTAAGGCAATAAACAGGATTAAACTAGACTTTGACTAAGAAAACTCGGAATGGCTCCGTAATGTAGCTATCACTTGGAGAGCAATAAACGCTAGACAATACTCTGCAGTTTGAGAAGGATCTGAGTGGGTGTAATATAGTGTGTGTGTTAGGGATGTGCATCTCATGACTCGATACGATACGCATCTCGATGCATAGCCAACGATACGATACATTAAAGATACATATGAAGTAGCTACCGATGCGATGCGATACGATTCACCCCATTACGATGCAGTGCGATCTGATTCAACACTATGCGATTCGATGCAATACGATGCAATGGAGAAAATATGATCACTTTTAACACCTCGAGGCCTGTTTCATAAAACAAGTTTACCAAATAAGCCAGGCTTATTTCAGTTATCTGACTCATTGTCAAATGATTTGGTTCCATAAAGCAAATTTAACATAAGCCTAGATCAAGCTTAGTCACTGTGGCAACTTATGCTGGGAAACTAACCTGGTCTAAAGCAGGCTAACTGTCAGGCTAAGCTGAGTTCCTCCAACACTGACCAATAGCAATCCAATGATATTACTACTCTCTCACATACTGTTATTTTACTTCTTTTTTACAGTTTCTAGCCATGCAGCCTTTCTATCTGGTTGTATTACAGCTGTACCTTTTATAGTTTGAAAAACAGATAGCAAAACATTAGAACATTACAATCTAAAATTGCTCTTTAAAGCATTAAAATAACTAAATTAAAAGTTAAAATCACTGAATTAAAAATGAACATAAATAATAAAGAAAATTACTATATTTTAACTGCTATAAGAAACACATTAACTCATTTGAGCTTAGTAATTAGGACTGTATTAGCTTACATTTGATTTACACGTTACAATAGTCCGTTTACAGTTACTGCAATCATAAAAATACACTTATATGTAGGTTTAAATTTCTACAAAAGACACATGTAATGTCCAACAACAAATTTTTTTAGCAAAATGTATATTTTACTCAGAATTATTGCGCTCTGTCTGTTTAGCGCACATGCACGCAGCAACGCTCGTTCACTCGCGTAAGCCTCGTCCACTCCTGACAGCAAAATGAATATGTTTGCGTGACTTTCTAACATTTACAGATGAAAAATATACCTGTGACGTGTCAGTTATGCACTATGGAAAACACAATGTCTCAAATGCATTAAACAGCACAGATATATTCGCTGTTTGTCATGGTGGATCGATTTGATCCATGATCGACATTAAGAGCTGCTTAAGAATAAGCATGCACAAATTAGTGAGATTGTGTGAACTTAATTTGTCATTTATGGAACCGCTTTATCCCTGATTGATTGTTTAGGTTATTTCAAGTCAGGTTTTGGACTTTAATACCAGTTTTTCCTCGGGTCTCCATAGTGTTGTGATTCGTCATATTCACGCAGCAACAGCGGTGATTAGATAACGCGCTTGAGAAACAGTTTAGAGAGAAATCAATCTACATATACAATATTGGTCACTTTCTAAATAATAAAAGTATAGCGCATCCACTAGTAATTATATATAAATATATCGGTTTTTACCGATGCAAATATGTTCGAAACGATGCATCGCGATATAAATGACAACTTGTAGCCGATGCACACTTTTTAAACAGATGCATCGCATCGTTAACTTTTTATGCCGATGCACCGCGTGAATCGGGGAATCTTCCCATCCCTAGTGTGTGTGATTGGTTATAGCTGTGTGCAATCCGTGCAATGGATGATGGGAAATGTAGTCCGGGATGACATGCAACAGTTTGTGTAGTATGAGAGTCAATGTAATGGAAGGGTGACCTCTGGTGGCAATCAGACGGAAGTCCATGGACAGGATTTGTGACAGTTACAGCATGAAATTCCAAATAATTATTATTGCAAACCCAAGATACTAAAGAGCTGACTGAGTAACAAAGGCCGATCAAAATTTAATTAGTTGAACATTCGTTTTGAAAATAACCGAAACTTTTCGGTTTGCCTCACAGACGACATGAAAAATACATTTATAGAAAATATCTACTTTTATAAGTTAAATTAATTAGGTGATTAACAGCATGCATGGTAATAAAGCCCAATGGCTTTCCTGTTGAGTTTTTAAAGAAATTTCAGTACAAATTTTCCCCACAAATTTTTTTTGTCAATGTATACGGAATCTTAAGAGTGTGGCTTTTTTCATCAGTGGTTGTGTACTATCTTTGGTTTTGGTTTTTGATATGTAAAAATAAGTGGTAATGTTGTGTAATAGTTTGTTTTCTTTTTGTAATGTTTGTTCTAATAAAAAGCTCCAACATAGAAAATGTCTACTTTTAAATGAACCAACTCAAATGGAAAACAAATATTTTCAAATTATGTAATCCATATGAAACGTCCACTGTGGAGATGATGAGTCAGTGTCGTCAACTTTATCACTGCATCCATAAACACAGAAAACACTAGTTTATCAATGAATTATTATAATGTTAAGGCAAACATCTTGCTGTTTTTCCCTGAAGCATTCATAATCGTTACTTTTGTAGTGCGCTGTGGCAAGCTTTATGTGTGCGCTTGAGCGCTGATAGGCTATAGGCAATTAAAGGCTCATTATTATGAATTATATGGTTTATTAATATAAACATGCAATTACTTGACTAATTGCTTAAAATGAACGACTACTAGTTGACCAGAAAAATCTTTTCATTACCTAATTATTGTTGCACTTGTTTATTTTTGTTTTTGAATAATCTGTGGCCCTAACAAAGATTTAATTGTATTGACAAAGCTTGCTATAACATTAACGTTTCCACATTTAAACCTGACCATTTTGCCCTTTAGAGAGAATCTTAAAAATATTTCATTAGCAGTTATTTTCAGCACACAACTAGATAACGTTTTTAAATATGTATTTCAAAAAGAATAAAACCCTGAAAACATGTTTTATTTAATTTTTTAATGGTTTACTTTTGTAAACTTTCCAGCACTTCTGACATTTGCATTTGAACAGGATTTTTTAAAATTATTATTAGAAACTACAACAAAACAGAAAATTGGACAGGACTTTTATTTTGGTGTGGTGGTGTGACATCATAAGGCTGCGCCACGCTCCTGCATCGGTGATTCGGCTGAAGAAAGGTTTGTGTTTAACTTTTAAAAGTTTTTAAGTCAATGCTAACGATGTAAAATGGCTTAATTGTCTGTTTAATGCAAGTCTGTAATGCTTCATCTAACGTTAGTGCACGTTATTTCGTGCAACCGAGTAAAAGAAAAGCTGCTTTTCATTTCTCTCCCGATATCGTGAAGCATTTAACAGAAAACAAGAATTCAGTCACTGAAAATAGTGATGGAGAATCTTGTGAAAGAAACATTTGAGCGTTTTCATCTGAATATAGATTACAGTTGCTCTTTCTGTGTAAAAGAAACCATTACACATTTGTTTCTCAGTTCTTCTCTCTTCTGGCATGAGATGTTTACATTTCTGATCATTAAAATGACATTCAAAATAGCCCTGAACCAATTAACAGTTTTACTTCACTTAAAAACAACAACACCATTTTTATATCTACCAGTGTACATGGAGTGACTCAAAACCCTTTGCCCGTTTTCAAAAAGCCCTTGGAAAATAAAAGCGATCAAATAAATAAATACACAAAATATTATTTCACTGATTTAATCCTTCAAATCACCACATTCTGATAACACCTCAGGCCTGTTTCATAAAACAAGTCTTAAAGGGGTCATATGATGCTGCTAAAAAGAACATGATTTTGTGTATTTGGTGTAATGAAATGTGTTTATGCGGTTTAAGGTTAAAAAAACACATTATTTTCCACATACTGTACATTATTGTTTCTCCTCTATGCCCCGCCTTTCTGAAACGCGTCGATTTTTACAAAGCTCATCGGTCTGAAAAAGCGAGGTGTGCTCTGATTGGCCAGCTATCCAGTGCGTTGTGATTGGCCGAATACCTCAAGCGTGTGATGGAAATGTTACGCCCCTCACATACTGTGTCGATGCCGTGTCCGGCCGGAGCTACGAGACATAAACATGAAAACCCATTATAAATGAGGCATTTGTTGCATCCAGTGGGGACATAATTACTGATTATAATGACTTATACTGTCTTTTTAGTAAATACAACTTAACCACTGATTTCTAGTCGTGTCCATTTTTGGAAGACCAAACAAAGTAGTTTCGCTTTCACAACAAAAAACACTACGGCCTAGCGTGAGCGAAAGCCGCGGCTTAGCTTGAGCTGAGGCCGGGCTAGAGTGAGCAAAGGAGGCGGGGTCGAGAACGGCACGCCCGGCGGATTCGACGAAAGAGCGGCAACCACATGTGATGACCCCGGGCTGGACTCCGCTTCGTCCACGGTGAAAGCCGATCCGGCAGTCTTATTTTGGGATTCAACTTAGACTAATCTACAATTTAATGTCACTGAATAAAAAAAAAAAAATGATGTCCAGTCTTAAAGAAAAAAATTGGATGACGAACTTGTAAGGCTAGTCTAAATCTTTCATGCAACCAGACCAAGGAGCGGTTTCATAAAACAAGTTTACCAAATAAGCCAGGCTTATTTCAGTTAGTCTGACTTATTTTCACTTGATAGTTGACTTTATTATTAGTCCAAAAATAAAAGCATACAGAAAATGCAACTTAAATAATCAATTAAATAAAAAAAA